CACACACACCCCAGTTCCCCAAAATAATTTAATAAAAAACACAAGACGTACCCTGTGAATTATGTCGGCTGAATGTATATACTGTGAAATAGAAAAAAGTCGGTTAAATGAAAAGTCCTCGCCAACCTCCTGCGGCCACTTTCTATGACCGAATCGAGGTGCGTTTTCCTGAATCAGTAAATACTGCCAGTGTCAACGACGGGATTAGAACCCAGAACAGGTGATTCTTAGTAGTCTACACATTCATCATAACTGTGATTTCCATACCATCACCTCTGCTCAGAGCTGAAGTACGAGTGAGCGAGCTTTCAGTCTATTTTCTAGTTAGTTCTCTGGAGCTCCATAAGGATTCAAAGTGGCTAACTAGCAAAAGCGGTTTAATTTTTTTTTTTTTTTTTTTAACTTTTTAAATTTATCTTTATTGTTGGGAGTATTACAGGTATCCCATTTGCAAAAGTGGTTTAATTTTAAAGAGTTTATCCGCCCCTCCCACAAATAAAGGAGCCTCCTTGAGGATGTTTATAAAGTTTCAACATGACTCTGACCAGATATTAGATTATACCAGGAAATTATTATTACTGCTGACGTGTCGTCGTGGAGCGCTCTGCTCCGACACGCATCCTGACGGACCTGTGGGTGGACCGGGATGACGCCTCGACTTGCCTTCCCGCAACCCCAGGTTGGGAGCACGAGAGAAACGAGACTGGCCACGTGCTGGTCACTGCGGTCAGTGCGTAAACACAGGGGTTCCTTATACTATGATAGTACTAGTGATTTGGGGAGTGTTCGAAATTTTCCATAAGGAAAGTTTTTTGCCTTTTTTTCCCCCCTTAAGCCCTAAACAGAAGAGAGAGAAGGAGAGAGAGAATTTCATGTGTCAAAATTATTACGAATACTGTGTGTACCTTGAGACCTCGGAGAATCTGGTAGATAAGGAACTGAACATGGTCATCCGTCAGCTTCTGGCATTTCACAATGTTGTTCAGATCTGCCCCCATGAGATGGGTCACCAGATACCTAGAAATTAACGGAGAGTTGACCAATAATCCAGAGATCGGAGGGAAGTTCTTATCTTATCTTTGCAAGGAAAGGCCGCCCAGTAAGTACCACAGTGACAGCTAAAGGCTTCGTGACGTCTCACGGGGGCTCCTTTTCAACGCCACTCTTCTACATTTATCTCCTGTCGTCCCTTTTTCTAAAAACTTTATACTCGTTCCCACCTGACGTATCTTTTCCTAGGTTCTCCAAAGAAAGAGGAAAGGACAAGCATGGGTATGAGAGTGACACATTAGGATCACTTTGATGACTAAACGCACGGCCGTAACAAAGTATCTTGTCTTAAATGCACCATTGCCTCATTTTCACCTCATTATAAACCCTCCCAGTTGCAGGTTCTAAAATAGGGGTATCTTTAAATTTTCAAATTACAACTCCTCTTTTTTTGAGACGTGATGGGTAAAGGACCCTGCTCCCCGAGGACATTCCCGCATTCACTTTAAAGGGAGGCGGGAGGCACTTCATCAGGGAGGAGGGCGGGGAGCGATTAATCCCGTTCCGCACGGTAACTCAGGGGATGACACAGTCAAGTCCAACAGGTTGGCCACAGCCCCTCCAGCGCAGTGCCTCACCCTCTCGTCACCGCGCCACACGGGGATGCGAGCACAAAAACCACATCGGCACGGAAGAGGCTGAATGTTTAAAAATTAGGTTAGGTTTTTTTTTCTGTTATTGTTTCTTCCCCCCATTGCTTTTCAGAAAGAGTGGAGGGAGACAGAGGAAGAGAGGACACTGGAGTGAGGGAGACCCACTGCTGGGTGCCTCCCGAGTGGGCCCCGCAGGGCCGGGGATCGAGCCTGCAGCCGAGGCATGTGCCCCTGGCTCGAATCGAACCTGAGGCCCTTCAGTCGACAGGCCGACGCTCTAACCACTGAGCCAAACCGGCCAGGGCAGGTTAGGTTNTAAATTTTCAAATTACAACTCCTCTTTTTTTGAGACGTGATGGGTAAAGGACCCTGCTCCCCGAGGACATTCCCGCATTCACTTTAAAGGGAGGCGGGAGGCACTTCATCAGGGAGGAGGGCGGGGAGCGATTAATCCCGTTCCGCACGGTAACTCAGGGGATGACACAGTCAAGTCCAACAGGTTGGCCACAGCCCCTCCAGCGCAGTGCCTCACCCTCTCGTCACCGCGCCACACGGGGATGCGAGCACAAAAACCACATCGGCACGGAAGAGGCTGAATGTTTAAAAATTAGGTTAGGTTTTTTTTTCTGTTATTGTTTCTTCCCCCCATTGCTTTTCAGAAAGAGTGGAGGGAGACAGAGGAAGAGAGGACACTGGAGTGAGGGAGACCCACTGCTGGGTGCCTCCCGAGTGGGCCCCGCAGGGCCGGGGATCGAGCCTGCAGCCGAGGCATGTGCCCCTGGCTCGAATCGAACCTGAGGCCCTTCAGTCGACAGGCCGACGCTCTAACCACTGAGCCAAACCGGCCAGGGCAGGTTAGGTTTTATCTACTGTGTAAGAATCGTTTTCCATTCCTGACACTGAAGATAATGTAGACTAGTTCCGCTTTAAAGAACGTTAATTTCATTTCGTTTGTTTNTTTATCTACTGTGTAAGAATCATTTTCCATTCCTGACACTGAAGATAATGTAGACTAGTTCCGCTTTAAAGAACGTTAATTTCATTTCGTTTGTTTCTTTTTAAAAAATAAAATTGGGGGGAAAGAAACCAGGCCAGTAAACTTAAATCTACTATAATGTATTATACGAATAAATATGTGTATGACTTCTCTTTATATACACACCACTATATTTATTAATTTCTTTCCTCAAAGAGGAATGAATTTTTTTTTATTTTTTTTTTTTTGCTGTTTCCTAATTTCCCTATTGAGCTGCTATGGTCTGTTCCCAATTCCACTAAGATCAAAAGGAGTTATCTTAGACATGACCTTAAGGTAAGATTTTTAGCATTTCATATTTTTAAAACTTGCATGTTTATATTGCCTTGAGGAGAGGATGGGCTCTAAATGTAATATGAAGTAACAACTGGACTTTCTGAAATGTCCTCATAAAGGTAGTTCTTATTTAAGAGCCGTTCCAAGCTCAGCACAGTATCACCAAAGGCAGGTCGCGCTTGCTCTGCGCCAGGCACTGTTTATTATGCCCACGTCTCCTGCACCCTTCCGACAACTCTGTGAGGTAAGTCCCGTTAGTATTCCCATTTCATTGATGAGGAAACCGAGGCAGAACAAGAACACACAACTCACTCAAGGTTAAAAGAATGGTAATGTCAGGGGTTGCATCCAAAACTGTCTGATCTCAGAGACCGTGATCTTAATTAAATTACAGCACACACTGCCTCCAAATTCTTCCAGCTGATGTAAAATTTAAGCTGAGAGAGTGATCTTAAAAAATAAATATTTGATAGCCCTGGCCAGTGTGCCCAGCGGTTAGAGCGTTGGCCTGCGCACTGAAGGGTCGTGGGCCCAATTCCCAGTCAAGGGCATGTACCTGGGTTGCAGGTCTGATCCCCAGCCCAGTTCGGGGGGTGTGGGAAGCACCCCATCGATGTGTCTCTCCTCTCTCCCTCTCTTCCCTTCCCTCCCTCCCTCCGTTCCACTCTCTCTAAAAACCAATGGAAAAAATATCCTCGATTGAGGGTTAACAAAACAGGATGAATATTCCATCCTAGTCAGCCACTATATTTTTTAATCCCAAATTAACACATAATCTGACAAATACGAGAAAACTATGAATCACTGGTTAATATTTTGAGGTCAGAACCTCCCCCAGAAAACCTGGGCTGATGGCTGCCATGCCCATAACACCAATTATGACAAACGAGCCCAATTTCTGCCATACAAGGCTACTTCGTAAATAATTATGTTTTCTGGTAGCAAGTAGTATTTTCTCAACCTTTAAAAATAATTTTAAGGAGAAAAGGTAAACAATGGAAACATTGCTTTGGGCGATTCTACCTAGAATCCGTCTCAATTTGTCTTGAAATGAAACCTAAAAATCTTAACCCTCTAACACGTCTGTGCTAGTTCACAAAAGTGTTAAGCACTATTACCGATGCAATCACAGTAATTTCAAGTATAACTATTGGGTTTCCATGGTTATCAGTGACAAGAAATCCTATACAGCCGGCAGACCACGGAGTGCACAGAGAGAGCGCGAATACGTTTTTAGTTAGAATATTTCGCCACTGTGTGATCCCCTAAAGCCCTCTCCCCATAAGAGACCACATCCAGTCTATCAGTCAAATTTCCAGGCGGAGGGTGACTCTGTCTGAACACTACGTAAGTATATAAGACCAATCAGTCTACACAGTAATAACCATCCAGCACTGCTTCCAGCCTGCAATTAAACTGAAAAGCATTATTCCTGGCAGAAGTGTTTTGCGGGAACTAACAAATCACTGTGTGCTGTTTCCACGAAGCTCAAAGACTAATCCATGACAACCGGCTGTCAAATTCCAACTCATCGCATATAGAAAGGTTTCCAAAATAAATCTTTCAACGGCAGACAAAAGCAAGCATTGGACAAATGTTACTGAACTTTTAAAAGCAGTGAACTAGGGAGTGGGGGGAAAGCGCAGATGAGCCCATTTTAAATAATCAGTTCCAAAGGAGCATAATAGACAGCCGCAGTTTCTATATTATTTGTTTCCGGAAGGCGATTTAATTACATTTTTGTAAAGGCATGCCTCCTGTTGTGTGTGTTCATGACCTCTCAGACAGATTAATGAAGGTTTGCCCTGAGAACAGTCGAATAGCTATCTAGTTCTCCCGTCTTTAAAAAGGAGTTAAATGCGTAGGACTTCAGGTGGGAAAGGTGATTGTCATGGGCTGATACAAACTTTGTTTTTCACTTATCTTGTGAAAATGAGCTCCTTTAAACTTAATCAAACAGGAAAGAACATAAACCACCATTTCTTAAAGTCACTCATAAGTAAAAGGCAAATGCCTACGGTAAGGGATTTTCAGCACTGTAGACAGCACCCTATTCTAGGGCTTCGTTTATTGGGCACTTTTTGGGTAGCACCCAGCTGTCAAGACTCCTGCCCTACCACCTTTGTTTTCGAAGCATAATACGGTAAGAAAGAGCCTGTGTAGAAAAAAATCTCTTTCATATCTACAGACTGGCATCTCTCCTACTGTCGGCCCTATCTGATAAAGGAATTATGAAAATGAAAAAACATTTCTGTATTTAAAATAATCACAGGGATTGACAACTTGTAACCACAAGCCTTTGAAATACCTACATTCAACGATCCTTGGGACTTACTACAGCATGCCCCTCCTTTCATCAAAAGGCAAAAATCCCTTCAATTGCAGAGAAAGCCCTACAGAATCCAGCACCCTGCCCCCGATTATCGCTCTCACTTCATCATCTGCTTCTCTCCCCTGCTCTCGCTCAGCTCCACACTAGCCTTACTCCAGCCACACAGGCCCCCTTGCTGCAATTCCGATACAACATGCAGCCTTCCGCCACAGGACCTTTGCACTGGCCGTTCCTGCTGCCTGAAATGCTCTCCCACCAGACATCCATGAGTCTAATTCTTCTATCCTTCAAATTTCTGCTTCAAAATTTACCACCTCATTTAAAACTGCATCTCTCCCCCTACCCTCGGACTCCTAATTTCCCTTCTCTGCTCTACCTTTTCTTTTTGTCTGCAGGGTTACTGCCTGCTGCCATATGACCTCACTTCCTCTCTTATCCGCTCACTGTTTACTGCTATCTCTGTACAGTGTTCAAGGTGGACAGGGTTCTTTTCTGTTCCCGGGAGTATCTGAAGTACCTAGAACAGAGCTGGCAGATAGCAGGCGCTCAGTTTAACTACTGAATTGGATTGAATGGCCCAAGCAGACCACATTATTCTAATGTAAGGGGTAAAAGCACCATTCGGCAGCCAGGCAGGCAGCTTAGCCAGCTTATTTCACAACAAATGATTCTCATTTGAAGCAAAGATTACCGAAACGTGCCCTCCACATTACCTGCATCAACCAAACCAGACTCAGTACTCTACCAGACAGTCTACGTGAGAGAATAAAAACAAAAAAGCGAGTCACAGAATGCACTGGGCATGCTGTGAGAAACCAGTTATGCACAAGACAGTGCAAGGTAATCTGCTCGGTCAGTCCCTCCATCGACACCATTCGCCAACTGCATCACTCGTGGGCACAGGGGACGCAGCAGCGGAAAGGACAGATACGGAATTTAGATGAGAGGAAGGCCTGTGCAAATACATAATCATAACAGAACATGATTAGAGCTTAAAAAGGGGGGGCTCAAGGTGCTGGAAAACACCCGGGAGAGAGCCCCAACCAAGCCTTAGAAAGGAGTCAATTAGGGAAAGATTTCTTGAAGTTCGCCAACTATAAGCCAGACCTCGAAGCTTCTTTACCTTTTTACATCAGCTGATCTGAGAAAAAAGGGGGCATCTTACTGATGATCTGAGACAAAAACTAAATGGTATTTTCTTAAAGGGTGTGCAATTTATTTAGATTTCAACTGTGCTTCGGCGAAGACATCTACAGAGAGCTTCACCAGCCAACTCTCTAGCCTCCTTTCAGCAGACCGTCTGATAAGGAAACTGCAAATATAACCGTCCGTACAAGTAACTCATTGTCCTCCCAGGCTGCGTCTATACCTGCATCACCTATCCTGAGCACTCGGCCTATTTCCAAAGAATAAAAGCAATGTATTTACCCAATAAGAAGAGTTAGTAGATTTTCTAATCATCATCATAACTCTAGATCAAGAAAAATGTAAGTAAACAACAAAACATTCTCCTAAAGGCAACTTTAGGTTCTTCATTTTATTTTCAAAGATTCTCTGGGATTGAAAACACTTCAGAGGTCGACCACCCCAATTTTCATCATTTTACAGGGACCTTAACTGGGGCCCAGGGAGGCAAAGTGACTTGTCCAAGGTCATACAGGGAATTGGGAACCAACAGAAGTGTTTTGAATTTATTTCCCCTAGCAACATTTTTTTTAATCTGATAAAAAAAATTTAAAACCCTCACTCGAGAATATTTTTCCCATTGCCTTTTAGGGGTGAGGAGGGAAAGAGAGAGAGAAGGCTATCAATGTGAGAGAGACACATCGGCTGGTTGCCTCTTGCATGCACCTCGACCAGGACTAGGGATTGAACCTGCACCCGAGGTTAAGTGCCCTTAACAGGGAATGGAACTCGGGACCCTTTGGTCCACAGGCCAACGCTCTTAACCACTAAGCCATACCAGCCAGGGCAAGATTTTTATTTTATCAGGGCAAAGACTAGTGTTTCTGATTACTCTGAGCGTGTTCCAACACTCCACTCAGCAAGTATCCAAAAAGTAGTACTGAGATTTGCTTCTAAGAGATTAATTCGGTTCTTGTTTATAAATAATCAAAACCCAACTCACACAATGTTGTATGTCAAATATATCTCAGTAACGCTGGAAATAAATAAGTGCCGCTACTTAAGAAGAAAGAACAGATTCTTGCTGTTTCATTCTCCCTAGCCCCCCACCCACTACGGGCTCCTGAGGATCTTGGCTCTGCTTTCCAGGGGGGCCCCAGGCTAAAAAACTGGGAGAACTGGTACTATTCATCAGCTTTCCAAACATGTAAGGCCCACCCCTGGTCCCAAGTGCAGCAATCCAATGCTTCGGGATCAGCATGCAGTTCTAGTACCAATTCCCCCATAGACATGGGATAAAAGAGAACCTATATGGAACCAGGGCTCCATTACATTTCTTTCTTTCTTTTTGCCTTTTTTTTTTTAAAAGACTTTTTATTGATTTTTAGAGAGAGAGGAACGGAGAGGGAGAAACACAGATGTGAGAATGAAAGAAATGTGGATAGCCTGCCTCCTGCACGCCCCTGACCAGGGATCGAGCTCGAAACCTGGGCATGTGTCCTGGTATATGGGACAACACCCAAGCAATGGAGACACACTGGCCAGGGCTCGATTACATTTCTTGATGTAAATGTAATAATGTAAAGGTGTCCCTTTAAGTGCTGGGGCAGGCAATTTCAGGACAAATATTTTAGTTCAAACTCCCTACACTCCTCTCCACTCAACTCTTGCAAGGACTCCCCGCTGACTCCCCAGATGGAGCACAATGTACCTGAAATGATGAAATTACATTCATCACCCACAACACGCACCTTCTGTATCCATCCCNAGATGGAGTACAATGTACCTGAAATGATGAAATTACATTCATCACCCACAACACGCACCTTCTGTATCCATCCCACCCCCTAGAAGGACTGGGTGATAGAGAGACAGACTCTTAAAGTCTGTCTACTGCTAAATGGTCCAGGGACAGAAACGGGCTGCGAGTCGTCCCCTTCCAGCCGAGGGAGGCTCACGCACAAGATTTACTCACACATCATTGAATTCCTCCAAGGACCTTGCAGGTGTAAAAACGTCCAACAGACCAATCACCTATGAGAAAACAAAAATCAAACAGTCAATTAATACTGAACTTACTAGAGTGACCATCAGGTCTACGGCTGTGAACCTAACTCCAAATCCCACTGAGTTCACGAATATCACAAAACCATATATATACTGTATAACTTATTTTCTACCAATATCATGTTTTTGTTTTCACTCGTGAATATTACCTCTCAAAAAAACCTAGTCTACCATTAAAAATATTCGGCTCCTTAGGATTTGGTCACGTGTAACCGTTAGTTTATCAGGAAGCAAAGGGGGTTAGGGCTCCTGACTTACCATATGCACGAACAGTCTGATCAGGAAACAGAAGCAAGTCACACTTCTACAATCATTATTTATAGTATCGCTTTTCTTTTTTAAATGCAAAATTATTCCATGAAAATTTTCATCTTACTATATGGTCTTCAAAACTGACATTTTTCAAATCCCCAAATGCTCTCTCAGTATATTCTTGGTATTATTCTTATAATACTGCAAATATTAAGGTAATTTCCTTAACTGTTATCAAGTATTTAGGTAAGACTATTTAAAAATGAAAAAGCTATCTTTATAAAAGGATAAAGCGGAAAGCTACATAGTACTCGGGAGCCCATGGTCTTTGAGCAGTTTTCCTGGTCCAGATCTACACTGATTAACCAACATATACTCCCCTCCCCTCCTCCTAAAACCCAGACCACTCATTTCTACAAAGTTAGGCACTGAGGAGGCCAACAAGAACTAGAACCCATCAGCAGTGTGCTCAGCCAGGTTTAAGGGCATCTGGAAACGAAGCAAATGAAAGCGAAACGTCCTCCCTTCACTAAACCTGACGCAGGCCTGTGGCCTCAGCCTGCTGCTCCAGCCAACCAAGCTAAACAAACGGCCCTAAGAGTAAAATTATAGAGCAATGGGCAAAGCATCATCACGAAAAGGCACCTCCCACGAGAACGTGACTCCACTCATCCAAAAGCAATTTAACCACACAGCCTGAAACCAAAATGAAAATACACAAACATTTTTTAAAAAAAGACCCTGGAATACAAGAACAGCTTTTCAAGTCTCTGCATCTTGTTTCAAAGGGAAGGTACAGCTCCCGCCAGATCCTTACCCAGATAACTGTAAACATGAAAACCAAAGCTACCTGTATCCGCACCACCCATTATAAGTGAATTTAACATTTTGAGACATTTCCTTTGATGTTCCTGATGTGCATAAATTAAACAGGGTTATACTATGTATACACTTTTATATCCTGCCTTGTCACTTACTATATGACTATTCTTGTGTCCTTAAATATTTTTCAGTAACAGGCTCTATCATTTGTAATTATGTACCACAATTTAACCAGTTTCCTGTCTATGGACATTTAAGGAACACTGTAAGTGTGTGTGTATTTGGCAGATCTTGTATTTTCTTCCTGAGAACAAATTTCAAGAAACAGAATTACAGGACCAAAGGACACCAATATATTTAAGGGTCTTAATCTTATCAAACTGCCCTCCATTAACGGGGAGGCCAACTTACATCCCTACCAACAGTGTGTCCGTGACCTTATTAATCGCTTTAAACGGTGCTTTAAATTTAAGTGAAATCATTTTCTCTTTCCTTCTCTATGTTTTCCTTGAGTTCGATACACACCTGCCTTAAAATCTCTGGTCCTTTCATTACTCTCTCCCCTCTCCCCACCTGCATTTTAGGTACCTGAGAGCTAGAAGCCAATTTTATTCACCTGTTCCAACATTTCCTAAACACTGATTCTTTTTTTTCTTTTTTTAATATGTCTTTACTGATGTGAGAGAGAGGAAGGGAGAGGGGGAGAGAGAGAAACATCAATGATGAGAGTCACTGATCGGCTGCCTCCTGCACGCCCCCTGCTGGGGATCGAGGCCGCAACCCGGGCCTGTGCCCTGACCGGGAATCGAACCCCGATCTGCTGGACTGTAGGTGAAGCCACGCGGGGGGGGCTTACCACTGATTCTTTTTATCTGGGATGTCCCATCTCAATACAAAAAAAGTTTAAAACAATTTGCATTATTTTACACTATTTCTTTCTTTTTTAATCCACACCCAAGGATATTTTTTCCACTGCTTTTCAGAGAGTGGAAGGGAGAGAGAGAGACATCGATGTGAGAGACACACCAATTGGTTGCCTCCCACACGTGCCCCAACCGGGGCCAGGGATCGAGCCCGCAACCCAGGTACGTGCCCTCGGCCGGAATCAAACCCGGGACCCTTAGTCTGAGGGCCGACGCTCTAACCGCTGAGCCAAAATTTCAACTGTGACTGTGAAAAATCACCCTCAGGTCAAAATAAAAGGAACCCCCTAGAGATAAGATTTACACAGGGATTATTCATGCAACAGTTACCTCAAGGACAGTAAAACAAGTCCAATCATTTTCAAATAAAAGCTCCAATTTCAACCTGAAAACACAACAGGCATTTTGGAATCAAACAACTGTAAATTTGGATCCCACAATGAGTTTTGCGATTTCTAGGATCCACGAGCTTGTCTTCTTCCTTCCAATCACCCCGGCACTTGGAACAGTGCCTGGTATACGCATTTCCAATCAATATTTGTCAAATAAGTGAACGAAAATTATCTTCTCTGAGTCTCATTTTCCTCACATGAAGGAAATGGGAATATCACTGCTTATCTTCATAGTATTGTGGGGCAGTTTAGTGGCGATCACAGCCTTATAGTTTTAAAAATAATTACAAAATACAAATCACGGAAAGAAACTTTTTAAAGCAGCTACTTCCAGTAATAAAATTTGAGATATAAAACTAAATTATTCAAACGATTAAAAAGCATGGCTGCAAGAAGTACAATGAACTAATCTGGAAAAAGTAGAGCAAAGCATATTAGTAAATGTCCTGTCAAATTTTAATTTCCTTAAATAAGACAAATTTTATGAGATAAAAACTGTCCATGTTATATCAAAGTATTTTTAATTTTTTTGTGGGCCTTTACAAAATATCCCTTCTCTATTAATCATATTTTTGAGTGTTAATCATAAGGAAAATACTGTAAAAAATGTTTCTCAGCATTAAAATAGATCTGGCGAACATTTTAGGAATATTCCATATCTACTTATCTCTCATTTCTTAAATGGAAATTTCCTTTTAATTCATCATATTTTGGCCTATTTTCTTACTCTTTGTGCCATTATACGAAACCTAAAAGTAGCCCAGGATTCAAATTTTTTAAAAAGACTTTACAATGCAAATAATTAGCAAATATCTCTCATCGCCCTACAATGATCCAAAAGCTGACAGACAGAAGTAATGCATTTGTATTAAATTAGCACACACTAAAAAAAAGAAACACTTTAACTCAGTAATCAGTCAAAGACAATATCTACTGTATTTAACACAAGCACGCAAAACCACCACTTGGTAAAGTTAAATCTAAGGCTCCTGAATAAGATTTATGAAAGGATTCCCTTAATCATTTCTAAATTTCAAACCGTACCGGCCTCCAGGTCCTTAGCTGGGCAGTCGTTGCAGTCGCTATCCAGAGAGCAAAAGGGTACAGCCGGCAGGCCGCTCCCCCTTCATCCTTCCTGAGGGCAGGTGTCAGGGAGACCAAGGTGGCCACGTTCAATCAAGGAGTCCGCTGACTCTGGCCAGAGTAACTTACAGTCACAGAAAACATCCCCCAGCGTGTCACCCACCTGATAGACGTATGCCTGTCACTCGTTGTCACTAGTGGAAGGAACAGCTTAAGAGGAACTGTGTATGGATTGTGGGTCACAGGCTTTTTTGTGTGTAAAGATCACATGCGCATTCTGGCACCTAAAAATTCCTTCTGTTATCAATATTTACTTAAATTTTTCAAGAGCTTTAAGCTGTTACTATGGCTGCTGTCTTTGGTGGCCTGGTGGCTACCTAAAAATTAGACAGTGGCCCAAAACAGTCACTAAAAAAACCCACAAAAAATAAAACTAAGAAGTTGAAGGAGAGGAATGAATTCCTTTTAAAATCCTTGAATAAGCTTACTTGAAGCCCTGGCTCTTCATTAGGTAAAACTACTTTTACACTCCAAATGCTAACAAATTATTTGTAGACTAGACTGAAATTCAGGAATTTTTCTATATTGAATCAGAGTCTTTGGTCTCTTCCCAGTCCCCCTTCAAACATTCGTCAACACAACAGAGAACTATGAAACATTCAGCAATGTGCCGCCTTTTGTTCAAACAACAAATCACCAATGCCCAAGTACGGGTGACCCTCTACACGGATACTGCTAAAATCTAAACATCTCAATATAAAATGATGGACTGCTAAAAAGCAAGCTGCTTATAAAGTAATTTATGTAAATTAAAACCCTGTGTTTCTAATACTGTCAGCCCGCTTTTTAAAAGGAGTCTTGTAACCTTTCCTAAATTAGAAAAACTGTATCAATCACGGTGGCCTCCTCATTTCTACAAATACAGAATGGCCCGGCCCGGCCAGGCGTGGCTCAGTGGTTGAGCATCGACCTAGGATCCGGGCGATCGGGGTTCGATTCCCGGTCAGGACACGGGCCCGGGTTGCGGGCTCAATCCCCAGTCGGGGGCGTGCAGGAGGCAGCCGGTCAATGACTCTCTCATCATTGATGCTTCTCTCTCTCTCTCCCTCTCCTTTTCTCTTTCTGAAATCAATAAAGATACATTTAAAAACAAAACAAAACAAACCCCCCCCCCAAAATGGCCCAAATGTAACCAGCCCAATACCATGACACACTTCAAATTATCTCATTACAGAAAATTAACACATAAAAAACTAAATAAGGTTGTTGCTTATGATCACTAAAAAAGCCAAGGCATAGGTTCAGATAACCCAAAATAATTTGTGCCCTAAACAATGGCTTGATTTGTCTACAAAGAAAAGCAAAATGATAAAGTATAGTGCTGGTAAACCAGATGTTCTTAAATTAGTGTGCGGTCCTGGGGTCTCCGGGAGGTCTTTTGGGGTTCTATTTATGTTCAGCGTGCATTCCATTTTCAAAGTACTCCTTATATTTAAAAAGCTATGACAATGTCTCTGTCACATTTATTAACGTGTAATGAAAACGGCATATACAATGTTTCTACAATGCTACATTTAACTATGTTAAAAACCCAGTGTAAACCTATCAGTGAAGCTGCCAGGCCACCTTGATTTTATGCAGACCTTGGATTGAAGCTTCTCTTGCCAGCTTCTCAACTCCTTGTAAACATGTCACTGATTAGAAAGGCTGCAGCTCTGCACTGAAATTTAAAAAAACTCAGGTTTGCACATGGATGTTCCTATAAAGTTATACCTGGGAGTAATTATAAATTATAAATTAATAATTATAATTATTATACCTAGGAAAAATTATAACGGCATCCATAATCCAATTCTGAATTTAAGTCTCAACACTCCCAAAGTAGAAGAAATTTGTACTTTGTGAAACAAACGTATATTAATAAATTATCACTTATTGGTGGTTCTTTTCTTAAAATTGACAAAAGAAGTTCAATTGTTAAAACAGAAAAAGTCTGAATAGCCAAGTAATAAATTTAGATTTTGAATTTTTTTTCTACACTAACAATCAATAGTGTCAAACGACTCTAAAATCTCTATGGTCATTGTTTCTACAATGCTACAAAATTTACAGTTCCTTTCACATAGCAATCACATAAATTCTCTTTAACTTGACTTCAAAATACAGGAATCTCAGTCCCCTGTTTTTTCACTTTCAGTTAATATTCCAATTGCACCCATTTATTTACTATATTAGAACTTTTAAGCACTGCATTGCAGGATGGCGCTGTTCTCAAGTTTCCAAATTGATAGGAAAGAAAACGTTATTTAACTTAAACAATGCCTGTCACATTTGTTAAAATACCCAAATCTGGTAAAGCTGTTTTTGCAGATTAATAAGAAAAATTATAATGTTAAATTGTACATCAAATAAGAGTCATCTCTGCTAGAACTTTCAGCGAGCCTATGGCATTCTTCCTCAAACGCTTCCGCTGAAATCATCCGCAGTAACACAAGATAGGCATGGGCTCCCATATTCTGATAAGATAACCTCAAGTAAACCCGGTAAAGAATACAAAATTTCTTTGTAATATTTTCTTCTAAAAATCCTTAAGGCCCTGGCTGGAGCTGCTCAGTGGTTAGAGCAAAGGTCCACACCCTGAAGGGTCGAGGGTTCAATTCCCAGTCAAGGGCATGCGCCATGGCTGCAGGTTCACTCCCTTCCCCCCACCGTCGGGGCGTGTGCAGGAGGCAACCAGTCGACATGTCTCTCTCACATCAATGTCTGTCTGTCTCTCCCTCCCTCCCTTCTATTCTCTCTGAAAAGCAATGGGGGGGACCTCAGGAGAAGATTAACAACAACAAATCCTTATAAACTGCTCTACCTCATAATATATCCTTCTATCCTTTTATTTAAAAAATCTTTTATGTTTTCCCTCTAAAAGTCTTTGAGTAAAACTCAAACTCCAGGAAGACACACCAGTTTCATCCCACGGCCTTGGGTAGCTACCTGACATCAGGCCGTGACCACTACCACCCAGGATAAGACCCGCAGTCCAAAGTCGGGCGCCCTCCCGCACTCACATGCATTTCCATCTGCGGTAATTAAAACAAGTTTTTTCTAGTCCATTCAGAGCAGAATTCATCCTCCCTTGAGTAAAGAGCTTACGTTTTCATGTTTCATATGCTTGAGCAGCCGCAGCTCTCGGTAGGTCCTCTTGGCGTGGATGATGGACTGAAACGGCCTGGAGAGCTTCTTCACCGCCACACGCAAACCGGTCTTCGTGTCAAAAGCAGCACTAAGGAAATAAGCAAACAAAAAAATCCATCATTAAATCTGCTCTAAATACTTCAAAATTAGCACTTGCAAGGCTATTTCATTTCCAAATTAAATGGGTCTATAACAAAAATACCAAGAAAGTATACAGATGAAAACTAAAATGGCCTGTAATTCCATTACCCAAACAAAACTCCTGTTGTTATATTTGGTGTTTCCTTCTTGTCATCTAAATCAGAGGCCAGCAAACTTTTCCGTGAAGGGCCGGACAGTATTTTGGACTTTGTGAGACTTAGGGTCTCTGTCACAACTACTCAAATGTGTGGTTCTAGCTGAAAAGCAGCCAGGTAATAAATTTAAAAATGGATGTGGCTGTGTCCCAACAGCTCAAAAAAGGAGGCCACCTGATCTAGAGAAGCCAACAGATTGATATACAAAGACCTAGCTTCCGTCTGTCCTCTCCGCCTAAGTCTCACTGTCCCTCTGCCACCATAGCTGCCTGATCAGAGCAGAGGCCTTGGAAACGACCGTGTTTTCAGGACAAGTCTGTACAAACATTTCTTGAGCACCTTTCAAGTATTTGACACTTTTTAGAAGATGAGCCATGGTAGGGAACCAGTCAACAAGTCCCTGCCTGGGGGGGGGCAGGGGAAGAGCAGAGTCATAAAGTAATTTCAAACAGCGGTGAATGCTTTGACTAAATAAAACAGGGTAATGGGATACAGAGTTAAGAAAACCAGCAGTCACGCTCCTTTCGCCAGGATGTCTGAGGAAGCTGGGACAATGGAATGTAAGTAGCAACCGTGTAAAGAAATAGGGGAAAACGAGCTTTAAGAATTAGAAAAAAAAATGGTATTAACACGTGCTGAGTCTTCACTGCATACCAGTAACTGTTCGAAGCTTTTCAGATTAATTTTTAAAAGTTACTCTTTTAATCCCCAACATCCCTCTGAAGCGAGTACTATTATCATTTCCCCATTTACTACGAGGAAACGGAGGCCCGGAGAGGCTCCGTAAGTTGCCCGCCATCGCAGAGCTGGGAAGCCGCAGGAGAAGCCTGGAACCGGGGCTCCTGCTATGAGCCACTTTGCTCGCAGCCTCTCAGAAGAGCAAGTGAAACGAAGGGAAAGAAACCGGGAGAAGACCCGGGGCAGAGGCGGGAGCGCCGGCCCGCAGCACGGGGCGGGGGGGCAGGAGTGAGGTCAGGGGGCCGGCGGAGGCCCATCGCGGGCATCTGCAGCACACACTCAGTGTGCACGCGAAGTATTTTTAGAGACTTGGCTCATCCCATCCTGCCTCAGCCTCCTGTTCATGTCAGTCTCTAACGGGCGTCCAAGGCTTTCAGATCATCTATTGTCACCAAACTCCGTTTCCCATACGGCTCTGGACTGCTCCAGAGGCCCCCCACCTTCACCCCAAATCCTTACTTGATGTCCTGTCCGAGAGACTCCTGCACACCTTCAGCCGCCTTCCCGAACCTTCCCTCCCTCTCTCCGCTTTACCTGACACTAAGCTGTACCTTGAAGACACTGCGTCTCTGACAGCCTGGCATTCAGAGGGGCCCCTTTCCCTCGCCTCCCAGGGACCTCCGGGCTAGCTGTGGGGGTAGGTGCCCGCCTTGCCAGGCATTACCACTGCCAGGCCCCAACGCTCCCCCTGTTTATAAAAGTCCCCGCTCACAACCCTCCCTCCCTCTGCTGCTGTTCCCCGCTGACCTGGAATTTTCCATCCTTCATTGAAAAGTTAGCTCCTATCTCAAAGTCGCTCTCCCCTCCCAACTTCTGTCATCGTTCTTGGCAACTTCAATGTCCAGGTGGAGGGCACATCCAACACCCTGGCCTCTCCGTTTCCTGACCGCTCCAGGAAACTCCACCTCACTCGGCCGCCTCCGCGGTCCCGCTCGACCTCTAGCACCACCGAGAACCACCGCGCGCTGGGTTCCCATCACAAACCTGGGCCTTTTAGTTTTCGTTTACTGGTGCCGGGCCCGTAATTCACTGACCTCCTCACTGCTTGTTCCCATCCTGCGGCCCTCTCGGGTCCCCATCTCCCTGCCTGCCCACTTCTCCACGCTCTCTTCTCCGTCGCTCTGTCTCTCCCTCTCTCTCACTCGCCTAGATAAAGTCCAACTCTGGGAGATCTCAACTGCTTAATTCTCCGTATCTGACCCTAAGAACTGTGGCTGAAGGGGGAAAAAGAAAGCACAATCACAGGGACCGGTTTCACTCTTAATTTCTGACCTTAGCCTCCAATGAGGCTCTCCCTACTGCCAGGTTTTCCTTTAAGCTGATTTTCCTGCTCAGAGTCCTCATTGGACACCGTCTCTGTCTCCTCAAACCTCCGGTTCACCCCCCTTCCTCAGGAGGAGCCCCTGCCTTCATTGAGAAAACAGAAACATCAAAGGGGCACTCACTCCATCTGCCGACCATTAAACCTACAGACCCAGCTGCCCGGGACGGCCTCCTCTGCTTTCTCTCTCGCTATGACTAAGGACGCACACACCCTTTCCTATAAAAACCCGAGACTTCAGTACACGCTTCAGAGCCTTCCTCCCTCGTCTTCTCCCTAAGGGGTCCTTCTCATCAGCATAAATATGCTCTCGCTATTTCCCACCCTCCACAAACAAATGAAAAATCTCCCCCGACAGCTCCCCACCACAGTTAAAATCCCCCGGGATTCTCAGAGTGGCTCCTAGGCCAGCAGGTTCGGTATCACCTAAGGGACTTACAAGCAAATTTTCAGGTGCCACCCAGACCTACTGAATCAGAAAGTCTGAAGAGGGTCCAATAATCTGCATTGTATCAAGCCCTCCACATAAGACTTTTTATTGATTTTTAGACAGAGAGAAACATCAATGTGAGAGCGGGACATCGACGGGATGCCTCCTGCATGTGCCCCGACCGGGAATGGAACCAGCAACCTTTCGGTTCACGGGCCGATGCCCAACCAACCGAGCCACCCAGCCAGGGCCCCCCGCAGAATGTTAACACACGCTGGAATCTGGGAACCACTACTCCACGGACCAGTAGCCCTGGAATTACCTGGATGCTCTCAAAAAATGCACAACCTCAGGCCCTGGAGTAGGATCTACATTTTGACAAGATTTCCAGGTAACTGATCCGCATCTTCAGGTTTGAGCGGCAAATCTGCATGATGTTTCCTCAGCTCCCACTCTTTCCTCGGTCGACATGCTGCTGTTCTCAGTGTCCCACGGGCCTCTGTTACCAAATCCGGGCCACTCTTCTGGATTAGCAATGGACATGGTCACGGCTTTCCCCCTCCGTAAACGCTGTCCACCCTGGAGTCCGTGTCTGTGCTCTCCGCTGGTTTTCCGACCTCCGCGGCAGCTCCTGTTCTGTCTCCACTCCCTGTGGGTCCTCTGCTCGAGCCGTGCACACCGGGGCTCTTCAGGGCCCCTGCTCTCCTCCCCACATCCCCTCAGCGATGTCATCTCTACCCACGACCTAAACACATGTAAGCCCCTGAAACTTAGCAAGTTCGAAACACCCACAACCGCGTCTCCCTGTCTCCTTTATCTCAACACGTGGACTTTTCATCTAGTTGCTCAAGCCAGGCACTGGAATGCCGGCCTTGATGCCTCTCTCTCCTCTAGTCTCCTGCCCCCTCCCATGAAAACCTATCAGCAAGTCTTAGGGTTTCCGTCTCCAAAACACATCTCTAATCCAGCTTCTCGCACGCTCGCTCTCTTTTTTGTTAATCCTCGTCGAAGGATATTTTTTCCATTCATTTTTAGACTGGAAAGGAGGGAGGGAGGGAGGGGAAAGGTGAGGGACAGGGGAGAGAGAGAGACAGACAGACAGACAGAGACACACACGGATACGAAGGAGACATCGAATGGTTGCTGACCGGGGCCGGACATCTAACCCACGACCCTTGGGTGTACAGTCCGACACTAACCACTGCGCCACACCAGCCGGGGCTAATCCAGCTTCTCTTCATTTCACTGCTTCCACACCAGCCTGCTCCTTCCACTGGTCTCCCCGCCTCCTGTTTTGCTCCCTTCTAAGATACTCTCCATGAGCATCCAATACAACCGTTAAAAAATATAACTTAGATGACACCACTCTCCCACTTCAAAGCCTTCGAACAACTTCCTTGGCATATAAAATAAAAAGCAGACTTCCTATCAGCCTACAAGGCCCAGGTGATCTGACCGCCGGAGCCGCCCCTGGAGCCCCCACCGGCCCCTGTGCCAGTCCTTCCTTCCTCACTCTCTATGCTGGGAGCACGCGGGCTCAAGCAGTCATTCCCTGGGCGACACCCTCACAGCTTCCTCCCTTATCCCACGAGGGGAGGGGGCTCTCTGTCCCCCACTCCCCTGGCTCCTACAAACCCACACGAGTGCTTCTTCCTTCCTGGAAGCGCCAAGGTCAATGCGCACTCTCTCTAAACCCCTCGCCGGCTCTGGTGAGACTGAGAAACAGTCATTGCTGCTGCCGGACCCACTCCCTTGCCTCTGTCCGCCTGGCTGAGCACGTCTCCCCTCTGCCCGTAAGGCTGGAGGCGGCCTGGGGAAGGGCGTGTCATCGGGCCCCGGCGGGCCTGCCTGCGACTTACTGCGCAGGTTCAATTCGCTGGGGCAAAACCAAGAAGCCCGCCTGAGGTGCACGTCCAAGCCATTAGAGGGCATCCTCCGTGCCAGCCTTACAGCAATAGAATACACATTCCAATCTCTATTTGACTCCTGTCTCTATCTATTCATCAAAAGGCAGGCTCGGATTAATCAGTACCCACAGACCCCAATAATTACAACTTATGACTATATATTTACGAGCCAGCAGAGTGGTTACACAAGGCTGCAGCTTTAGTACTGGACTATCTGGGTTTTCATTCGTCTGCCACTAAGTAGCTGTTGAGGAAGTTTTGTGTTTTTTTCAAAATATATGTTTATTGATTTCAGAGGGAGAGGAAGAGAGAGAGAGAAACATCAATGACGAGAGAGTCATTGATCGGCTGCCCCCTGCACGCCCCCTGCTGGGGATCGAGCCCGCAACCCGGGCC